GAACGTTTCCATAACAAATGACGTCGAATCGTCACGCGCAATGAAGCCAATGGGAAAGCGAGGTACCTAGGGTGCCTTCTAGAGGTACCTATGTAGGGACGTGTAAAAACGTAAAAGCCGTTTTTTTTTTTTGCACGAGCTCTTCTGCAAATAAAAATAAGTAAAAAAGACTGACCGAGATTATGCCGTCGCGTGCATTTCTTCAGCGCCGAAAGAGAAGAGCATGGCTTATGGAGACTACACCGGCATAATCACTGCAGTGAGCAAAGGAGCAAAGCATTATTAAAACTGCCCGAAGAAACTTTCCTGCATCATCCACAGAATGCTCACAACCGTTGCACTCTGCGTCGATCTCATGACTTGTCATATACTACCACAGAGTCGTCGTCAGCTCTGTATCCATTTGGAGTCTCCTTCACAGGCGAACAGGAAATTTCATTTGCAGCTTATGTTCACGACGGCTTCACAAAGGATGGTCGGTGTCGCAGCGTACCTTCACATAATATTTTCTTATCGTAATGCCATCCGTATCGTGCAGAAACAGGGAAAGCAACCACGCAAGCGAGACACAAACACCACAAGGTCGTTACCGCGGTTTTTGCCATGTTTGTTTTCAAAGACCGTAGCGAAAAACTTCGAGAAAAAAAAGCTGAGATATCTTAGCTAAATTTACTTTACGTCATAATTATTGAAATAATCATTCGTATTTTATAAAAGGATAATATTATTTTTCTCTGTTTCCTTCCATTTTCCGGAAGGTAGCCTTTTCTCCGTTATTCGCTTGTTCTAAGTCCCGGAGGAAAGGAAGAAGATATCAAAAAGAACAGGGGGAAATGCAGGGATTTCTTCGCCCCAACTGGGTAGACACGTCACCGCGACGTAGGGCATCGTCAGATTCTAGCTGACCGCGTGCGTGAACCCGAACGTTGGGGCGGAGCCTCAAACAAGAATCATTCTAGTTTGAGGCTCCGCCCCTTCTTTCTCGATACGTCACAACTCGAAAGGTACCCGTTTGCGACCAGAATAGCACCCCTGGTCGCATATTCACGAGCAAGCTCGTGGATTGCGAGGTTGGTTAGGTCATGATGGGCGAACATATTTGTTTGAGGGCTCTGCAGTAATTTGTATTGGCAGAGCGAAGCTCTGCCACTACGGCCAGGATTCGGGTCGTCCAATGAAAGAACATTAATGCGCGTCGTGAGTATAGCAACTTCCGGTAAAGCTGCACGACGTCGTGCGTGTAGCATTACTCTCCATGAAAAGGGTGTCCTTCTCAGGCCGTAAGCGGGAGTTCACCCTGAGCATGCGCAGCGTTCAGAGAGCTCCAATGTGGCGTCCAGTGAATACCACCTATTACTATAGAGGTTTCGACTCGACCGGGGTAATTTAGAAGTATATTCGTTTATCAGTAGCCCAAGTTATTTCGGAAATATCAATTCCGAAAAAATGGCATCAATTTAGACCACAAAACACCCGGAGTGACGGAGCATCCGTGGCAGGCGCACGAGTATTAGCAAGACGATGATTGATTACTGGCTCAGCGCGGATAAGTTTACTGGGCGACTCACAATTTCACACGATAATGCGTTACTATTCCTAAGATGCAAAAGCCTGCATTATTTCTCTGTATCAAGCAGGTGCCACCTTTATTTGCCGCATATTTGGAAAGCTGCCAAGATCGCTCACACGGTCGAGTATAGCTGAAGAAAGCAGTGCACCACTGTACTTTCAGACGCGTTGAAAAAAAAAAGAAAGTTAGAAACAAGCCTAATTTATTGAACGCTATAATGAGAATATATTACGCTTTCGACCTTAGGAATATACTTTGTTCCTTAAAACATAAGTGACCAATGTTCACGTCTTCTAGTCCAATCTTCCCTCACTCTTCAATTGCCCCATCCCCCTCCCCGATCAAGCGCTGAACTTTGAACCATGTGAGGTTGAAGTTGGCGGCGAAACTAGTTTAATTCGACGCGCTGAAGTCACGCATGTTGACAGCGGCTTGGCATAATAATGCGACAATACTGCGGAAAACGTGCTCTCCTAGTGCCCAACTACTAAGTAGGGTCGGGCAGTATACCGCCCCGAATCAGGAACTATAAAAGGCCTAGCTTTCTGCGGCTGGGAAGACGAGACACTACACGCTGGGCATCCCGAACTTGGACTATACGAAACCTTTAGATATAGTAAACTAACACTGCGTTAGGAAAAACTTAACATATACGAAGCTTGGAAAACAAAGCCGTCTACGCACCGTAGAACGCAACAACGTCGAACTCGCCCTCTGAACGGGTAGCAGCACTCCGCAGCCCGCGGGCATCCAAAATAAAACGTGGTTACGTCGAAGAACACCAAATAAAATTTGGACGTCCGTGTCGTCATTGGCCATGTCCCCTGGACTACAAATCGGTGCCGAAAATACGCACCCCAGACTCTTTGCGTACGCACGAAATTTCCGAAAAATATCGTAAGCTAAATGAGTGCACGCAAAGCGCAAAACGTGGTTAGCGTTCGGCGCATGCGCAGTGGCGACGAAGCTATTCTTTGCGTACGCAAAGCTTTAGAGTGCGCTATTGTAAAACTCCCTATTGCCACTAGGGGTGTCGCAAACCGGTCGAGGTTCGAGTTCGATAAGGTTCGACTTTTTCGACCTTCTTGTGAAACGTTCGACACAGGTTCGACTCAGGTTCGACTGTTATGCGCATACGCGACAGGCTGGCCAGTTGGTTTCGGATTGGGTGGTGATGGGCTAAGGGATAAATTAAGGGCAGCACTAATTGGTTATTTCAGTTAATACAGTACAAAAAATTAAGTTAATAGCTTCTTCAGTGATTACAATCAGTGTATTTTAATTGCAACTGTTCATAAAATTAAACAAAAAAAACCTTTGCATACAAAATATAATTCTCCAAGCCTAGACACGCTTCTATCAAGGTCTGACCACACTGTCCACAATGTCGAACCGGTCGAATCTGGTTAAAAGTTTGAAGGATCGAACCCCGAAAGTTCGACCTATATATCCGGTTTGACAAAAGTTCGCGAAAATCCTAATTGCCACTATACTCGTTTTCACCTTAAGAACCGAAGTAAAACAATTCCGGCTGGTGGCGGAGTGTTCTGGGTTTCCACCAATGAAATGCCGCGATATCGCGTAGACTTAACCACTCTCCTTCGGGAGGTGGTGGGATCCACAATTAGAGACCGAAACCAAAACGAATTTAGCACTGCAGCATCCTCTAGTGGCAAAAAGCTAGAACATACCTCGTGAAATAGCGTTTGTTTCTGATAAACATGCTCATGCTCTGCACAATTTTGCATCGCTTCTTTAAATTGTCTTCAATAAACATATCTTTGTATATCTAACATTGTTTATACCGTCGGCTTTCTAAAACACTATGAGAAAAAAAAAATCAGTGTGTGCCAGTTTTAGCGCATTTACAGTTTTTAACGGCAACCATGAAGCGCTAAAGCAAAAAGATCAGCTGACATCATCGACATCGCCGCAAACTTGATGAACTGGGATTGATCAGACCTGCTACCAGCCACGAACCTATGTTTGCATAGTTTATTCTGTCCTAATATACCTTTGTTTACGTTATTGCGTTGACGTTCATGTGTATGTATTGAGTGAGCAATCGGTTTCCTTGTGTGTCGCGGTGAATTTCAATTTTTATTCTTTAATTCCGTTTTCTTAAGTTCCGTGGTGTGGGGATGGTGGTACAAATCCTGATTATAAGCAGAAACAGCGTGGTTGATGTGAGATACGTTCTTCCAGGATCCCATAAAAGCTTCTGCTTGTTGCGAAAAGAATCCCGATTATAATCTGAAACAGCATGGTGGATGAGAGATACGTTTATTGCCAGAGCGACCCCAAGGCATGTGCATGGCATTTTGTGAGTTTACTTTCCCAGAAACCGCCTGGGGAACTGATCACTGCAATAAAGGCGCTATCTTAATGAAAGACTGGGCTGAACATGATGTTTAGACCTCGAAATTAGGTGTAAGCGACACTGAATATGCATGAGGTGAGGAAGTGAAATGTTAAGCTCAGGGTCACATTTCAGAACAATGGTCGATCTTCGGCATGCCGCCAACACTACGTCTTCTTTCTTGAATGAAAACGACCCTTAAAGTGTAATTGTATGCATATATGTTTAGAATGCAAAAGGGCAAAATGGCGCCTGACACCTCTGCTGTAATGGGCAAATTAGCGAATGCAGTACAACTGCAATTTTTTTTTTTTTTTGTAGTGTGAATCTTTGTACACAGTGGGATACATACAGCTGATTTCAAAGACCTCGAGAAGCCATGAACAAGGCTATTACGTAATGAAAGGAAGAATCACGACAACAACATGACACTCGAGGTTAGGCGTGTATGAAGTCGGGAATCCGATTTTGCAGTATGTGAATGGTCCTTAAAAGGGCCGATCTGTGTTCTGGGGTATGACAAACAGAGTCCAAAGTTATAGCCACTTTCAGAAGAGAACATGTCCTAGGGGGACATTAGTTCACGGTCAATTCCATTCTAAAGGCTGAACACCGGAGATCTCTTCACCCTCATCCTCGTCGTCAGTTTCGTCGTCGTCTCCACTCTCCTCCTCCGTGTCGCTTGCATCGAGGGATATGATGACTGGCTCGAGGTTCGACTCTGGGACATCACATTCTCGAAACTTCGCCTCCATTTTTTTTCACGTGCTGTACACAGTCATGCCAATGGACAGCTGTTACGTTGTCCACTGCTTCCCTCAAGAGCCACTCGGCGTCATTGGGCTTGAATGTGATGTTCTTGGAGGCGAACTCCTGCTTGACCCGTGCCCATATCAACTCTATGGGATTTAGTTCGCAATGGTACGGTGGGAGCCTCAACACTGTGTGTCCGGCGTCCGTAGCCATGACGTCAACTTTGTACTATGTGTAGCGATCCTTCACCGTTGCCACGACGCTCAGAAGGTCTTTTTTCTTCATAGTGGCAGTCCAGTCTAGGTTCTTGGAAGAGAGTCACTGCTGGATCTCGCCCTTCTTTGTAGCAGTTGTGGGAACAGCTTCAGCCTTTCTGCTGTGGTATGGCGCGTTGTCTATAACGATTACGCTGTTAGGCTCGATGTGGTCCAGCAGATGAAGAAACCATGCTTCAAACCTGTTCGAGTCCATTTCATCGTGGTAGTCCCCCTTCTTCTTCCCACGGAACACGTTCAGGCAGCCGGACACGAAGCCAGTGTCACTACCTGCGTGGGTGACAATCACTCTTTCACCTTTTCCAAAAGGAACCTTTAGCCCGGTCGTCAGTCCAGACATGAAGGCTTGCCTTGCTGACTTTATGGCGCTGTCGGTCCACACCTTGTCAACTGTGAGGCCGGCGTTCACCCAAGTCTCGTCCTGGAAGTAGATCTTGCGGTTCTGGGTTCTGTGCTTTCTGATTGCCCTCAAATACCGCCGCCTCCACTCGACGATGTCCTCTCTCTCAATCAGGAAGGAGTTGCGATTCCGTTTCTGTTTCTCGAAACCCATGTCCTTCAGCAGGCGATACAGGGTAGACCCGGAACAGGACGGCAGCACGTCGTCTTCTTGGAGACGAGCGGCGATTTTCTTCAACGTTGGGATCTTTCCCCGACGGAAAAAATTGTGCAGGCAGCTTCTCACGGCCGTCAAAGTGCACGCGTCATGATTTGAAATCCTCTTCCTTTTCTCGGCGAATTTCGGGCGCTCCTTTGAAGGAGATTTCACAGCTCCGTTGGCACGTTTGAAGCCACGCTTGATCTCGTAGACCGAGCTCACACTGATCCCCGTTGCGGCGGAAGTCAGGTTGATGACTTCCACCACATTTTTTTTCTTGGTACTGCCGCCGCATCCAAGAATAAACGTTCAAAACACACTGCCTTGTCTGGCTCGACAGGACATTTCCACGTCCGTGACGTTTGTAGTACACCCGGGTGGAAACGTCTTCAGGAAGGAGTGCTGACATCCCAGACCGATCAGCCAGAGCTGTTGGAGTCGCCATTTTGGAAGGCGAGCAACAGCGGCTGGCCGGCTGGCTACGAACATCGATCCTCAGATCTTGTGAGGCGTTGAATTACGTGAATACACGCGTATACTAAGGAGGTGTATTATTTATCCTACTGAGAATAACAAATTTATTTAAGCTTAAATAACGTTAGAGCAAACTTTTATCGGAACTACTTCGCAGAACGGAATAATATGTGCGACGGCATGCGACCAATAAGCAAGCGACGAGAGGGACACACCCACTTTTTTCTTAAAGGACCGGTGCAACGATATTCAATTGGAATGTTTTTCACTTGACACGAGCTTACTGGCACACCTGGGACTCAAGGATACTCACACGCAACGCCACTGGCCAAGAAACTCCTTTGTTGCGGTGTAATTTCAAGGACAAAAGCGATCATTTTCATTCAATCTCTCCTTTGCAAAATTTCATGACGTAACGTGGGGATCGCAGTACACCCAAGTGACGATATTTGAATGCGGCTCATAGATTGGACCCGAGCATTGCGTGGGCACTCGACTTGGGCTCGTGATAATTGCTAGCTCGAGAAGCATTCCGGTAGTGACCCGTGTCCAATCGCTGGAACGACGACAACAGCCGAGCCATAACAATGTCTGGAACTCAGCGCGTGTCCTGCGCTTTGCCAACCCCAGCGCGTGGCTATGATCAACACTGGCGGCATATAATCGGCTCCAGATCACGTGGCCGCTTGTTCTGGCTGCGAGTTGAGGGGGTGAACGCTGCTCGTTTTTCTTTAATTTGTTTCTGGGACTTCTATTACGTGGGGTGAAAAACGAACGCGTGTTTCATAGGTCATTAACATTAGGGATCCGTTTCAAGCGGTATTTGCGCAAAGTACAAAAATTGTTGCATCGTTCCTTTAAGGTGAAAACGGGTATAGGGGTGTCGCGAACTTTTGTAGAATTGGATTTTTAGGTCAAATTTTCGGCGTTCGACTGGGGTTAGACCATCTGTTTGAAAAACGGGCGTGCAATTGTCATTAGCAGATATAGTTCATTATTCTTAACTTGTATCTGAACAAGAAAGGTATTTTATGAGTTTCGACTCATCTCTTTAATGAGAGTTCCTCTAGTGGGCTCGTCTGATAGAGTGTCTGATTCACGGAACAGTCCGGGTCGTCATCGCCGTTGCCGTAGACATCGAGACTGTCGCCAAAGATGAGGTCGCTTGTGGCTATACTGGCACGACCCTCTTGGGCTTGGCAGGATTATCTGTCTTGACGGAGTAGTCAACCCCCAGCACAGGTTTTCTGGCATGCTTAAACTCATTCTTAAGTTGCTCAGCTTCTTTGGTTTTTTTTTTTTAGTTCTTTATGGTTGGCCTGGTAGCCGAGAGATCTCTTTTTCCTGCAACTTGAGCCTCTCGACGAGGGAGGTCTCCAGGGTGGGGGTCTTATACCCATGGGACGTACCCGTGAAGTGCTTCAGCAGGCACAGCATTCGATCTCGGTGCTCCTTTTTGGTGACCAGTAGCTGCAACTCTAGTCCCTTGATCTCCCGTTCCTTGCGTTCTTCCACCTCCCGGAGCTTGGCCTCAGCCTCCAGGAACTTCGACTGCACCTTCAGGAGTGGTGTTGTGTTGGCGTTGCGCGCCTGCGGTGCAGTCCGCAACTGCTCCGATCGTTTGCGCACTGAAAAAGCGAGCTCCTGCTCAACTGTGCCCTGGATGCGAGGGGCCATTTCCCCCAGGGGGTCCGTCTTGCCGGCATCGATCTGCTGCCTCTGCAGTGCCGCCTCCAGTCGCGACTTGTCCACCAGCGCATCCTCCATGCTCCGTTGCAGCGCACTGATCTTGAGGCCACTCTGGCGCTCTTGCCGCGCCGCCTGTGCCACCCGGTAATGCTCGCGCAGCCGCAGGGTGCTCACCTCGCGGTCGTGCTCCCTTTGGGCCCGGCGGTGCTGCTCCGACTCTTCCTTGAGCTGGCGCATTAGCCGCATGCGCGTCTTCTTCATCTCCAGGATTTCTTCCTTGAGTTTCCTAACATCTCGTTCTTCTCCCTTCAGCCCGATCACCGTGGCCTGCTCCTGGACTTTCTTTCGCAGCTTCGAAACGCGTTCATCCAGCTCCTTGATGCGCTTGCGCCGTTGCTCCAAGATACGAGTCTGCTGGGACTTCTTGTTGGCGTTGTTGAAAGTCGCCAACAAGACAGAGAGGTCGTCCCTCTCCTTCATGAGCAGCGCCACCTCCCACTCCTGCTCCTTGATCGTTTCTTGGTACTGGGCGTGCCCCACCTCGAGGTGCTGCAAGTTGGCGTGCATGCGGGCAGCCAGGTTCTCCTCGGTCTGCAGCATCTGGCAGGTCGGTTATATCGGTCTTTGAATGCCCCGACGAATGGCGGAGTGGAACGCACGGGCACGCGCACAGCCAGCACGTCTTCGGCTGCTGATAATGATTGCGTTACCACTCAGAAGAAGTGAAGAGCGCGCGTGCACTGCTTCGATGGGTGCTCAAGATGCTCGAGCGCACGTTCGCCCGTAGCTTTGACTGCATAGCCGCAGAATGTTGTCCGTAAATATTGTGCTCTGACTGTGGCTTAGCGTAACTGCAGTTAAGTGTGCCCGTGTAACAAGGGTATTATACCCCTGTTACACGGGCACACTTAACTGCAGTTACGCTAAGCCACAGTCAGCGCACAATATTTACGGACAACATTCTGCGGCTATGCAGTCAAAGCTATGGGCGAACGTGCGCTTGAGCATATTGAGCACCCATCAAAGCAGTGCGCGCGCGCTCTTCACTTCTTCTGAAATAGCTGTTCGAGATAGTGCGGTGTCTGTGGTGCCGCGCAACAGCAGTTAAGCTGAGTTAACCGCGGTTAACTGCGCCCGTGTAACAGGGGTATTATACCCCTGTTATACGGGCGCCCTTAACCGCGGTTCACTCAGCTTTAACTGCTGTTACGTGGCACCACAGTTACCACACTATACTCTCGGACAGCTACTTCAGAAGAAGTGAAGAGCGCGCGTGCACTGCTTCGATGGGTGCTTGAGATGCTCGAGCGCACGTTCGCCCATAGCTTTGACTGCATAGTCGCAGAATGTTGTCGGCAAGTATTGTGCGCTAACTGTGTCTTAGCATAACTGCAGTATTCTTGCCAGCTATCATCATCATGCCAGTAAGAGCAGCCTATTTTTTTTTTACATATTTTAGTTGTGGAAGAGGCGCATCTGCATTTAACTATACTCTGTTTCACCTTGTGTTGTACCGCAAAAAAGGCTACAAGCTGAGCTCCTTGCCCTATGGCATACCTCGGCGGCACAAGCTCTCGTGCACCAAGGGCAGCTGCCAACGCTATGAGCTCGCGCTTCTACCTTCGCTGCGGTACAACATAAGGTGAAACGGAGTATAGGTTTTCATGATATTCGGATAATTTGTTTGTGCACTCAAGCGGGTGCTGTTCAGTGTCGTTTCAAGGAAGTAAAGACGGCTGCAATATTCTGGAAAAGGAATTGTCAGCAACTAGGTGGCAAGACTCGTCACTCAAGCAATGATCTGCGCTATCCAGGAGCCCTATGTTGCACGTTTTGGACTCCCACGGTGACTATGAAGAAGGAAGTGACATCAACAACGCAGCAAACGCAGATTGGATGTTAATTTTGTTTTCTTCTGTCAATATACAATCTGTGTTTGCTGTGTCGTTGACGTCACTTCCTTCTCCCTAGTCGCCGTCGAAGTCCAAAACGTGCAACATAGGGCCCCAGGTCAGTGAACGGCATTTATTGACGACGTCCTGCGAAGGCCTTGTACTGACCTTGCAGCAGGTTATCATATTTTAGTTCAACGACTCCTACTTTACTAAGATCACTGTCTCTCGGGCGAAACTATTGGTACGGGAACCCTCCAATACGCAGGAAATTTAATAATTCATCATGATACACTAAATGGCGCTTCTTTTAGAGCGCAGCTCTTAGGCGCCCGTTTCCGGCTTGAGCGGCGTTGCCGTCGGCGTAACCAAGCCCTCAGCGAAAACTAATACGTTTGAAATATACCACATTATAATTTGAGTGTATTTGAAATACAGTTCATAATTGTAAGTACACGAAAAATAGACCGAAAATATGAACTTCTTTTTTTTACTTAGTAATAAATATACTTCTAAAAATCATTTTAAAATACCTTTACTTAAACTACATTTAAAGTTTCCTTCATGCGTTTTGAAATATGTAAATACTAAATTAATAGGCACAAAATACCTTTCACATATATTTCTTGAAATATTTATTTAATTCATGCAAAATATACTCCAACCCTAAAAAAATGGAGCAGTCAAAAATACGTGCAGAATACTCTTAAAATACCTGAAAATCGTAAATACTGTTGTGTTATACTCTAAGTACCTTTTGACTGCAATACTTTGGTAGTTTGACTTAAACAACCTAAATATTGAAAAGCTCCCCTTCTAGAAGTTCACTTCAAGCAGATATGGAGTACACTGAAGTGCCTAAATACAACATTTGATTAGTTTGTCAACTGAATTGCGCAG